TTCTTAATCTGTAGACATTTGCTGTGGAAATTTACTCTGGCGTATTTATGCCGGTGTGAGTTTTCATGTGCATTCTGCCATACTTTCCTACCTACCGTTCTGGGAACAACTGACAGTATTTCATCTATAGCTGCTCATGTACCATGTTCCTGTGGTTTCACTGAGTAAAGTTACATTAGATGGAACTAGTGTAGGTCGTGCTGAGTCAATATGTTTGACTTCTGCAAGCTAGGCAGGAACCGCCTAGTCCATGATTCTGGTCAGTGTATGTGCAGATAGACTAGCAGTGATGAGTTTAGGAATAGCAGCAGTAGCACTGCCAAACCACCAATTTGTGTAACTGTTGTTTCTTTAAAAAGGTTTCTGACTCCAGTCATAGTGAAGAAAAGCTAAAGAAAGTATGAGGGGGAGCAGATGAAATCTTAATAGCCACAGAGGGACACGGTGGTTCTTACATTGGTAAAGCATTGTTTATTTATGCTCTTCATAGACTTTGACTGCTCCTTTAGTGCTGTTGTACTCTATCATCACAGCACAACTACGTCTCCTCTTCCTATCTTTATTTTCTTTTCTTTTTTTCTTACACGCTCCCTTGCTTTGGAAATCCATGCATATTTGAATTCCATGTATAATCAGAATTCTGGAAGCAGAAAAGAAATTTTAAAATAAAATGAGATATGTAGGTTGGTAGATTCTTGTCAGGGAACAGATTCCACACTGCAGAATATCTCTTTTCTTTGTACTGGGCTGGATCTGGAGTTTTTGTTTCATAGCAGGATTATTCCTGATCTGAGTTCTGTTCAGCATAGCTGAAGGTAAAGTGGAAAAGGGGGGGGATCTTTCTTTTCCTTCACTACCCTCAGTGCTAACTTTATTACTCAAGTAGGGTCCACCAATTCTCCAGAATATGTATGTGTTTTTCTGTCTGTGTGAACATAGAGAATTGGAGAAGGGGAAGACTGATGAAGACCACATCCTTCTCATTAAGATAGTAAAAAATAATCCACTGGATGAAAAGCTTTTCTTTGATGGAAATAACTCTTCTGTCCACAAGATGCTTTTGCTGAATTTAATCTGCTCTTCCCAATATTTTATATTCCCTCTTTTACTAAAGACCATCGCCATCACGCAAAACTCTGTATAATTAATGAATGGAAAAATGCAGATGCCCTGCTTAAAGCGAAGAGGCTTGCAATGGGAAGGGTGAAAATAATGTTGCATGTATACCCTTCATATTGAAAGTGGAAGTGGGGGAGGAGGGAAAAATCTTTAGAATATCTGTGTCTCTGTGGATTTGTGTAATACCAGACCTTAAATCAAGTAAAGAAAAAAAATCTTTATAGGGTAAATTCTAAGAGTCAGATTGCACCACTTTTGTAGCAAAAGCAGTAAACATGTAATCCTGCAGCAGCATGGTCAAGAAAGCAAATGCTCGTGCCGCTGCTCAGCAGCGCGGCTCGTCTTTGCCTCCTCCCTTCAGATAACACGAGACTCCATTCAATTTATGAGATTGACATAGGAGGAGAGAGGGGAATGCTAGGTTATTTAAGGGACGTTCCCCCCTACCTCCCCCCTCTTCCTTTCTTGGCACCCACCTGCCCGCCCTATATTCTAGTATGAGTTTATTTGGTCGCCTCTGGGGCCGGATAGGAATTTTTGACCCACATCCTGATTGGCTTTGGAGGCAGGGATTTTTCGCCTATCCCACACTGGAACAGGTGCGCTGGCATGTTGGAGGTGGATATTCGGTCACACAGGCAGGTAGTGCGGATATAACAGGTTTTGGGTGAATCCCATTGCAATATCAGGTAAGCTATAGCCCATCTGACCTCCCAGCTCTGCGGATCGTGTGATTACAGTGCTTGGGGGGAAAGATGCGCTGGGGCCACACCCGGACCAACAGTCACTGAGGAGAAGCTGGCTTGAGGTCCAGGAGTGGTCAAACTGGGACCGGCCGGGTTCTTGCTGTCTTTAAGATCGCAAAAACGTAAGGCCAAGGACTCACCCATTTGTTGCTTAAGGGGTCTTTTGAGACCTCTTTGCTTAAACCTGTTTCCGCACTACAGCAGGGCCCCCCTTTGCCAAAGGATGACAACATTGATTATGCTTAATAAAGTATGGCCCATGTTTAAACCCATATTTCTTGTCTCACATCTTCATTCCGGGGTGGGAAGGGCAATGGATTGTATCATAAACCTTCAGTAGAGAGTGGACAATAAATGTTTTGCATTTTTTAAAAATCACACATTGTAATTTTTTTTATGTCTTAGGATAAGAGTTCACCTGAAGTATGGCAGACTGTTGTTTAAGATTTCCCAGATACATAAATCCTGCTAGTTCTTTCTGCTGGCTCTCCAACACAGGAAGTGTTGGTTTAAAACCTCATTCAAAAAGGAATCAAAAACTGGCAAAAATCCTCTTTTGTAGATATGCAAATAGCATAACTCTGGGAGAGGATCTGAACTAAATTCAGAAATCACTGTATAACATTATGAACTGGACGCTGAGTCATAAAACTCAGTGTGCAGCTGATAATACCCATGGTGATTTCTTTGCCTGAGGCAATTCACCTCCAGAAGTTCGGCTTCGTGCTGCACCAGCATAACTAGGTCAGAGGATCTGGGCCACTGAATACTTTGTGCCATTTCTTTAATCACAAGTATGATTTTTAATTTGCATATTAATTAATTACTAAACATGTTCTGTTTGTTTTTGTTATGAATTGGCCAGATAAAGATGAGGTAAAAATTTCCTCAATAAAGGAAGTTCTCAATGAACAAGAATACAGAATATCTGTGAGAAATTGTCTGTTTACACACATTTGGCAACATAATCATAAACACAAGTAACATGGGTTGAGATTTTCACAGTGTATCACAACAGAATGGATGTTGCCTGGAAAGAAAATGAGTAATGAAAAATAACCTAGGACAGTTTATTATAGAGATAAGCAGAATAAGTACATAAGTATAGCTTGAGGCAGATTGTGCATGACAGATACAGAAAATTCCTCTTGAAGCTTATATAGGATGGGAGTCTCTCTAAGAATGTCTAGGTTCCTTTGAACTCTTGAAAATGGTGAACAAACAGAGGGCAGTGGAGGAAAGGGGAATGGCTTTTGAGCTGAAAACCTTCCAATCTGAAAAAGGAGAAACAAATTCACTTGCTTTTAATTTCTTTCTTTCTTTCTTTCTTTCTTTCTTTCTTTCTTTCTTTACTTCTATCTTTCCTTCTTTCTTTCTTTGCTTCCTTCCTTCTTTCTATCTTTCTCTCCTTTTTTCTTTCTTTCTCTCCTTTTTTCTTTCTTTCTTTCTTTCCTTCTTTCTCTATATCTTTCTTTCTTTTCTTATTTCTTTCCTTCTTTCTTTTTATTTATTTATTTATTTATTTATTTATTTATTAGATTTTTACCCCACTCCTCTAGACAATGTCTATTCGGGGCGGCTTACATAGATAAAACAGGGCAATATGACATATATAAAATCATAAAAATTTACAATTACAATTATAATTAGACATTTGGTTTTGGAGGAAGGGAAACTGCAAACACTAAAGGGGGGCAGGGGGTTCGCGGGTGATGTTATTATTTCTTCCACCATATGGACTAGATGAAAATAAAAACCAAAACAAAACACAAACCCTGCCCTACCCACAACCCTCCCCCCAGACATGTATGCATGGAGAGAGAGGATGTTTAAATTGTTCCAAAATTCCCAAGAATAAGAGGTGGGAACAACACTCATAGTCCAGGCCAAGGGAAGATTTATATGCTTGCCACCTACTCTGCCATACCTGACCAATTCTGTATTAACTCACATTCTGGGAGGAAAATGAAAGGTTTGGAAGCAGGATGCTGGGGTGGGGTGGGGAGATGAAAATGGCATGGAAAGTAGCTCCTTCATCACGGGGCACACAGCATCATAGACATGTTGTCTACTTTTCAAGACGGGCATGAACTGCCTATTTGGTGGCTCATCCCAGTTCATTAACCACCGCAACAGGTGTCTGGTGGTTCGACAGAGCCCAGAGGAGGTGGGGCGGGAAGCTGGGACACTGTCTTCAAGTGGGCACCCACTGGCCGGAGTAGGGTGCCAAGCTGCTGAACACCTGTTGTGGTGGTAAATGAACTGGGATGAACCGCCCAATAGGCAGTTCATGCCCATCTCTATATTACTTTACAAGTCAGAAATATGAACATATTGCACTCTAAAAGCAGAACATGAAACAATCAACTGAAGTTAGCAAGATCCATCAGCACTAGAGCTCAATAAGTCCTTCAAGATTTTCTATTGTTACTGTTTTATTAATTTTGCTCTGTGAGGAAGAAAACTATTTCAGAAGTAACTTTTTTAAAATTACAGTAAAAGTGAAGGCACAAAGAAATCTGTGCTCAGATCCAATCATTCTCTATATATGATAAAAAATACTGCAGGCACAGATCAGATGTTCTACAGAAGAAACGCCTTGAAGGTCCTTGCTGTATTCAGGATAATAAGAATTCAATACTTTTGTCAGCACCAGATACTAAAGGAATCCTGAATGCATTTGCACAACCAATTTACAGATGCATTTTTAAAATATGTGTAACATATTATGTATGTGGAAATGGACACACCAAATGAAACATGGATAATGGGTCTGCCTTTGAAACACATGTGAATCACACCTACTTCAAAACACCACATGCAGTACTAGTTGAATGTTATCCCCTTCTGTCCATGGGTATCTGTAAAATGAAAGGGACTGCTGACAGGCTGCAATCTTCAACACTCTTATGCTAAAGTCATCCCAGAAGCATCAGTTGACCTCATGATTCAGCACAGATGAATTTGAAATTGCAAACTAAATTACTTGCTGAACGTCCTTTCTGTTCCATAATTAGTGGGAAACTAGATAATTTAGAATCGAGAAGAAATTTTTCAAGGAAATGACAGAACAAATTACATTTGAACTATAGGGCACACGCCCACAAAATGATGGGAATGAATGTATGTTTCATCTCAGGTTAAGAAAGAATTCCATGCCTGACTGATGAGTTTTCTGAAAGCTTCTTTCACATCCCTGTTTCTCAGGCTGTAGATTAGCGGGCTGAGCATGGGGATCACTACGGTGTAGAATACAGATGCCCATTTGTCCTGGTCCAGGACATAGACAGAAGTAGGCCGTAGGTACATGAAAATCACAGTCCAATAGAACAAAGTGACACCTGTGAAGTGGGAACCACAGGTAGAGAACACTCTGAGTCTTCCTGTTCATCCTCAAGACAGCTGCTAAGATGAAGATGTAAGACACCAGGATGATAGAAAGGGAGCTCATCTCAACAAAGCCGGCAAAAGCGAAAAGCAGGATCTCATTGACATGAATATCTGAACAAGAGATTGCCAAGAGTGGAGGGACATCACAGAAGAAATGATTGATGAGGTTCGAGCAGCAGAAGCTTAGGCAGAAGGTGGTCGTCGTGTGTATGATGGTGTTAGTTGCTCCAGCAAGATATGATGCAAGTATGAGACGGATACAGAGAGTCTTGGACATGGCTGAGAAATACTGCAGTGGGTTGCAGATGGCCATGTAGCGATCAAAGGCCATTACTGCCAAAATATAGCACTCTGCATTGACAAAGGAAGCAAAAAAGTAGAACTGGGCAACGCAACCAGGGAAGGAGATGATTCTGCTCTCAGATAATAGGTCAGTCAGTATTCTGGGGGCAATGGCAGAGGAGTAGCAGATGTCACAGAAGGACAGGTGCCACAGGAAGAAGTACATAGGGTTGTGAAGTTGGGCATGAAGGGAAATGAGAAGGATTATTCCCAGGTTTCTGACAATATTGATCAGATAGACAATAAGGAACACTGCAAAGTATATGGTTTGCATTTGTGGATTATCTGAGATGCCCAGGAGGACAAACTCGGTAACTCTAGTGATGTTTCCTTCAGTCATTCTCAGGGAATGACAAGATGCCCTGGAAAGGTATAGGAAACAAACCTCTTAAATCTATTGAACTGAAAGGCAGGTAGTTGCCAGCAAAATGTCAGCTGCAGCTTCCTTCTCCTAATCCTTTCAATTACTTTGGGATGAATGGATCTTGTAAACCATTTGGCTTTGCTTTGGTCTCAGTTGCTCTGGAAGGTTGACTATGTCCAAGAGTTGCCTTACCCGGGCTCCTTGTGAGGATCCAGAATCGCTGAGCTATGCTCCTTTTTATTTCTCTTTGCACCTATAGGTTGTAGAAATACAATCCAAGGCTATGTCCACTGGCCAAATAGGTGTTCTACTGATCACAGTGAACTCCTGCTTCTTTCTAACAGCTTAGCAGCAGCGGCATTAATTATTAAATACAGTATCAGAGCAGTGAAATAATCATTCTGGAGAAGGGAGTGCAGAGTATGGGAACTTGGCTCCCACAGGATTTCTGATCTCTCGGTTCCTAATCAAAGGATTCCTCTTTTTGCACACAATGGCTTTGGGTTGATGCAATTATCCCATGTAGTTGCTTCTCCTTCTTGGCCTTGCTTCCGCCTGTGAGACCTGCTTCTTGGCCTTGCTTCCGCCTGTGAGACCCAAGGCGAGGCTATAGAACTCCTCGCCGGAGTGTTGTCCTCAGTTAAAAGAGAGAAAGAGACACAGACAACGCCTACGACTTCCCGCGTTGCATTCAGACATCAGGGGGTAGACACGGGGGATTTGGAACAGGGTTTACAAAAGATGTCTATGGCTACACAGAACAGGACAGAAAAGGCGGGAACCGGAGTAGGAGCGAGACCGTTAATAGAGGCAAGGCATGGGGAGGTGGGGGAGGAGAGAGATAAGATACCCGGGGGTTGGGAGTTAATCTGGGTAGAAGATCCCTGGACAGGGAGATGTGAAAAGGTCAGGGTGCCTCGGGAGGAGGCAGACTATCACAGAAGAAGAGGTTTGCCCCCCAGACCATCATACTGGGGTGAATCAGAGGCTAGAGAGTGGAGAAGGCGTTTGAGGGAAGAAAAAGAGAAGGTGGAGAGAGAGGAGGAGAGCATGCGAGCATGGCGTCTGGAGGAGGCTCGCCGGAGCAAGTATTCACCGGACCCTGGGACCCCTACTCTGAGGGAGCTGACCCCTTCGACCTGGAGAGGAGAGATGAGGAGACCTTACCCTTGATTGAGATGGACATTGAAGCGAAGGGACTGGGTGACGTTAACCCATTTACCAAGGGACCTTGGTACGATCCAAGTTTCAACCCCTTTTTGCAAGAAACATGGACCCGTTGGCGACTTTCAACCCCTTTTTGCAAGAAACATGGACACCCTCGTTGGACCCGTTGGCAATGAGAGAGAAGAACACTGACAAGTTTAATGTTGATACCTCATTGTTTGATATTCCAATAAACCCAAGTTCCATTTTTCAAGAGCAAGTGCCTCCGGTGTTTGTGTCTGGTAAGCCTGAGGTAACCACCGAACCCTCACACTACCCCCTGCCCTCTTATTTTTGCAAGAAACATGGACACCCTCGTTGGACCCGTTGGCAATGAGAGAGAAGAACACTGACAAGTTTAATGTTGATACCTCATTGTTTGATATTCCAATAAACCCAAGTTCCATTTTTCAAGAGCAAGTGCCTCCGGTGTTTGTGTCTGGTAAGCCTGAGGTAACCACCGAACCCTCACACTACCCCCTGCCCTCTTACCAAAAGAAGCCTTTACCTGGCATTGGCTTGCGTGTTTTCTAAGTAGGGTTTCTGTGTGTAGATATTTACTGGGTAAATCTGCATGATTTACCTTCCATGATAGGAAAAGCTTGGCTTCTCTCTGTCACAAAACGGTCAACAAAAGAAAGTGAGTGTCTACATGGAAAGCTGCTCAGTAATGGTTCCACATTCAGTCTGCAAGATCTTTCATTATAAGATGTCAGGTGGCAAGACTGGGAAGTCCTGTCACCCATATTGGGAGTCCCATGTACCTGGAGGGCACCAGTTTGGGGGAAGACTGGGCTCCAGGGGTGAATGGGCTGCATCCTGAGGCCATGCTGGAAAGGAGCTGGCAGCTGAGTACAGAGAACTAGAATATTGCAAATGAATGATTTTGTTGTTGCTCTTATTGACACTTCAAAGAAAGAGGGCTGAGGGGCATGCATGGAATCAAATTTTAGAGGCAATTCTGTAGAACTGAGAATGTTTGGGTTTTTTACAAACCTGGTGGTCTTGTAAAGGGGTATAGATCAATGGAATGGAGTACCTGGCTACCAAGCCAAGGGCCAAGAGTTTGAATTTCCACCGTGTGTCCCAGGAGAGAAGACAGCTGAGATCATCCACAGCATGTGTTGTTGATTGGGTTAAGCACCTTGCCATCTGTGCCGCCTTGGGCAAGTTGCACAGTGTCGAATGACCACTGGAATGAAGGAACTATGTTACTTCAGAGTACCTTATATTTAGAAAACTCTAGGTCACCATTAGTTGAAATAAATCTGATGGCATATCATAATAATGATAATAATAGCAAAAATATAATAGCCTTATGCAACGCAGTAGAATCTCCTTATCTGTAGGATCAGTATCTACTGATTCACTTATGCACAGTCTGAAAATAGCAAAAATATTAAAAGAAAAATCCCCAAATATCTATATTTCTAATGATGAAGTTACTAGAACTAGTCACTAGAGGGAGCCAGAGACCATGCTATGTGTAGCATGTATAGCATCTACGTACTAGAGCAGTGGCCCCCAATCTTTTTTGCCTCCACAAACTGGCAGGGGAGCCTGGGGGGCGCATCTGTGCATGAGTGTGTGGGAGGGGCTGTGCATGTGTGGGAGGGGCCATCCATGCTTGTGTGGGAGGGGCTGTGGGAGGGCGTGCATGGGAGGGGCTTGCATGCAAGGGGGCTATGGGGGCTGTGCATATGTGGGAAGGGGGCGTGTGTTCATGGAAGGGGTGTGCATGCATCTGCACATGCAAGGGGGCAGGAGATTTTTCTCCATAGACGGTCCCATCAAGGCCACGGACCAGGATGGGTCTGTGGACTGGGGTTGGGGACTCCTGCACTAGAGAACTCAATTTCTATGACATCACTACCAGAACCGGCCACTAGAGGGAACCAGAGATCATGCTATGTATAGCTATTGCTATTATAATAGTGTTTGCTGTAATCCACATTTTTCAGCATCCACGGTGGGGTGAGGAGCTTGGAACTGTAGTTACTAAGACAGCAGATCCATTTTATCCCCTTCTGTGTATAGGTATGCACATATAAACTATAGTAGATTTTACCAAAGATTCTAGGGTGTTGTGTAGTTCAGATATGTTTGAAACCAGTGAATACAGGCACTTTAGCTAAGGTTCTCCCCAATCTTTTTTGCCTCCACAAACTGGCAGGGGAGCCTGGGGGGCGCATCTGTGCATGAGTGTGTGGGAGGGGCTGTGCATGTGTGGGAGGGGCCATACATGCGTTTGTGGGAGGGGCCGTGGGAGGGCATGCATGGGAGGGGCTTGAATGCAAGAGGGTTATGGGGGCTGTGTATGCTGTAATCCACATTTTTCAGCATCCACGGTGGGGTGAGGAGCTTGGAACTGTAGTTACTAAGACAGCAGATCCATTTTATCCCCTTCTGTGTATAGGTATGCACATATAAACTATAGTAGATTTTACCAAAGATTCTAGGGTGTTGTGTAGTTCAGATATGTTTGAAACCAGTGAATACAGGCACTTTAGCTAAGGTTCTTGTGGGCCAAAATGAAAGAGCACATTACTCTGAATCAGAAAAGGTTATATTAAATATTGCCAATGCTAAACAAACTGGTCAATTTATTTATTCAGTTCTTAGGAATAAGAATAAAATATATTGGGCTTAAAAAATAAATAAAAATAAAACCAGAATGTGGGTTCTTCCCAGCGGCACTATAGTGGCTGTACAATTTCTAAATTTCAGCCCACTAACTAATGCTTGAAACAGAAGAAACCACAAGGTTTATGCACAAGAAGGGGACAATTAGCCAGCTTGACCAAGCCATGAGGCTTGGAGAAAAACAAGAATTGTTGGAAAGGAGTTAAAAAAAACCAAAGAGGTGTATGTCTGAACGCCATTGGACAAACTCCCAGCTGAGTATGATGCAAAGATGAGAGGTTGAAACACAGAAAGAGAAAGAGAGGCTTGGTTTCGAAGGTATGGGCTGCGTTCTCAGACTGCAAGCAAGCCCAACATGTCGCTTTGAAGCTCTCCCTGCTCAGAAATGGTGACATTTCTATTCTGAGCAACTGCCTCATCGAGCAGGCTGAAATGTCGCACAGCATGCCCTTGTGACAATCCCCCATTTGGATAGAAGTTTTCTGTGTAAAATGTATAGGCTGTGTTTTATATCGAGTTATTATTTTTATGTTTTTAATCCAATTTTTTTTTAAAAAAACCAGATTTATATGGGTTTGTGACTTACATACTTTAATTTATCAACAAGGTTATCTTGATGGATGCTTCAATTTGCAACTGTTGAGATATGAAGCGTTTCCAATGCATCCATTGAAAATAATGCAAGATTTATTTTAAGATCGCTACTGTGTCATGTATGGGAATAGTAATATTGGGTTTTGTATAGAAGAATAACACTTCAAATAACACAAGATGGTAATATAATGAATTTTCATAGTACAGTATTCTGCAAAAACACTTATGTAGTTCCATGAGAAAAAATAATCCCAAATCCATAGTTCCACAATAATTTAATTAAGGCCAACCTTAATCCCACAAAAGTATAAAGAGTTCTGGAAAATGTGAAAGCTAGCACATTTCTTCTGCTACCACTGCTACTTCACTAGTACTAGTAAACCTGAAGGGAACTGTGAATTCCAAACAGAAGAACAATCCTTTGGAATAATGGCTGCCAACATTATTAACTATTTTCTATTGCAATTATTTGTACATGTGAACATAAGTAGTGCTAGTAGTTCCCTTGGATTTTTTACAATGGGATTTTAAATGCCATCCAGCTGTAACAATTCTATGCAAATATGTTTATATCTATCTTCAATTTTCCTTGTTTAATCTTCCACTTGTTTTCTTTGGCACACAACAAGAAAAACGAGCACCAGCATCTTACGTGGCAGCAGTTCACCAGTGAAATTTATACGGCTGGAGTTAAGCCAGTGTGAGAGGATTTTAGCCAAAGGAAGCAATACAGAATGAATAGATATTATAGAAGCCAAATGTAAATGTCAGTATGATGACTCTCAAAGACTTTATCATGTAAAATAAATTTTGAGGGAAAATCCATATACTGATGCATGACAGTGGTCTAAGCTAGGGAAATGGAAACAACAGCCCATGCATCCAGTGGAGTTAATTCATGCTGCCGCAACATGTCGTAATCAGTTTCTTCAGAGCATTCTTTACCTCCTGGTTCCTGAGACTGTAGATGATGGGATTAAGCATTGGGATCACTACCGTGTAGAAGACAGACACTACTTTGTCCCGTTCCAAGGTATAGCTGGAGCTGGGGCGTGAATAGATGAAAAGGATGGAGCCATAGTACAAAGTGACAGCAGTCAGGTGAGCAGCACATGTGGAAAACGCTTTCAGTCTCCCTTCACTGGAACGGATCCTCAGAATGGCTGCCAGGATGAAGGCATAAGAAGCCAGGATAAGTGCTGAGGGGGTAATTACATTAGAGGCCAGAATGAAATACAACACAGAGTGATAATTCTTGGGCACCTTGCAGGACAACTTGACCAATGGGGGAAGGTCACAGAAGAAGTCATTAATGACGTTGTCATCACAAAAGCTCAAGGTGAAGGTTTCATTTGTGATTATGGTGGCATTGATGAAACCACACAGATAAGAGATGGTCACCAACCCTGCACATAGATTTTTGGACATAACTGTAGCATACATCATTGGGTTGGCAATAGCCACATAGCGATCGTAAGCCATAGCTGCAAGGAGATAGCATTCACTGTATGCAAGGCCAGCAGAGAAAAAGAATTGGGCAGCACAACCTTCAAAGGAAATGCTCTTGTCTTCAGAGATACAGTTCACTAGGATTTTAGGGGTATAGACAGATGAGTACCAGAGATCAAGGAAGGATAGGTTCCCAATGAAGAAATACATGGGTGTATGGAGACGAGAGCTGTTACAGATGACTGCAATTAACGTGATGTTCCCTGCCAAGCTGGCTAGATATATTATTAGAAATACGGCAAACAGGATCAGTTGTAGATTTTGGTCTGTTGTGAATCCCAGAAGAATGAATTTAGTTATTGTGGTGTGGTTTCCTTCTTCCATGAAATTATGAACGATCAGCCGCTAGAGAAACAAAGGTGTATGTTGCAGTTATTACATATCAAAGTAACATATAGCTCCTAATAAGCTATACGTTGAGAACTTTTAGCATACATAAATTGAGCATTCTCTGTCAATAATGAATAGCACACAAAACAAAATGGATGCCCTTCCTATGCAGCATTGTGATCTGACTAGACGTTCAGCCTATGGTAAATGGGTACACCGCCCTCAAAGTGCTGTGTTGTGACTGCCCATTTCCCTCCATAAACTTACTAGGTGACAGTAGCAGGAAGCTGGGAAGCTGGCTTTTCACATTTCCCACAGTTCTGCAAAATGTCTGTCACATCATCACCTCAGGATAATTTTTTTAAACATTAAATGGCAGCTTCTGAAAACAAGCTTTCTGGCACGGTGGATGGAAATAAATGTAGTGGCACCTGTTGGAGTTTTGTGGCCCCAGCACTTGCACCCAAATGCTGTCCTGTAGCAAAAATTGTGGTCCAAGCTGTTTAACCATTAGAGGTGAAATGCAATAAATGTGTTTCATCTGATGAGGCGATTTAAAATTAGCCCCCACCAAGTACTAAAAGCTAAAAAGGAATGGAAATAAAACAGAGACAAAGGAGATATGAAAAGTTCCTGCTGTGACTGTAGACATTTTCAGCACTTAAAAGAGTTTTTTCTAATGAAAGGCGATCTATCTGGCACAATATAGGGGGTGAAATTAGGCCAGAAGTGAAGGCACTCATGATTTACAGCATCCTTAAGCCAGCAGTGCTTCAACTGGTCTAGTCTTCAGTTGACCTTTTTGCCATTTTCAGTTAGGACTGCCCCCCTCCATATTGTTGTAATCATTACCATCATTACAGAAATGATCACTATGCAAAAAAGGTTTGCCAGTGTATCTGAAAAAATTAATAGATAAATCAACTTACTTGTCTTTTCTCATAGTTTAGATTGTTTTTCTTTTTCTTCACATCATATTTGTACTTTCAATTTGTGTGCTTAGCCTTGGGGTCAATACAGATGAACAGCAATTCAGCAATATAATAATCCATTAGTCAGTCAGTCAGTTGGCCAACAATAGCCTCAACTGGGACACCAAATTTCATGGAAAGTTGTGACTCTGATTGCCTTACCTTATTAACCCCAGGCTAATAGGTTTCTCATTGTTTTCATTTTTCCTAGCATTCCAGACAACATACTGTGACCCCAACTGAAAGAGAAAGACGAAGTAAAAAGAAGAAATCAAATACCATTTTGAAAACTGGTTTGCAGAGACGGGTCTCTCCTGTCTATCAATGGCCTCTATGGGCTCTGTGTGGTTTAGTAAACAAGTTGATATCCATGAACATAAGGAGAAACAAAAGAAGTCTGCCTTGTGCCTACCTTATTAGATGGACCAGAATCAAGGAAGCTAGTCTGTCAAATGACAAATCTCTTAAAGAAAGATTTGTTCTCTGACTTCTGGTGGCAACCAGGATACAAGATTATGGTAACACCGTCTGTTGATAATTGTATATGTAAGACTGTTCCAAAACAAAAGACATGAGCTTATTGCAACCCAGAACTGATGTATCTAAATATGGGAAATAACAATTCATGGAAGCAGATGCTGATTAGAAAATGCTGGTAGGTATTTATTGAGAACTTTCTACTCTCTCTTAATGATGTTTTCCCATTGGCCTCTTTAATGGCAAAAAATATTTGCCTTCTGCTGGGATTAGAGGATTAAAAGTTACTTTTGTGCCTGTGGAGATACTGTTGCTATCAACAAACAAATTTATAAAAAAAAAATTATTCAGAATTTGTTTCCTAAATAAGAAAACCAATTTTGAGAGTCTGCTCAGAATATACTAGATATTTTAATTCTGTTAAAATAACCTAGTAGAAAAATCAGAATGGCTAGAGTTGATATGACAACTAAGAGATCTCATTCATTGCAGTGATGTGAGATACGTGATTACTGGTTGTTTTGTAAGATCTCTGTGGGGGATGTGCATTGTTTTTGGAGAAAGGTTGTAGAATGGACTGAGCTGAGTGTTTTAAGTACCTTCTTTGGCTGAAGACTGGACAAAGAAAGAGGCCCTCAACTACTCACCGAAGGCAGGTTAGCCAACCCAACAGGTCACAGAAGATCACTCCAGCAGTACTGGACTTCAAACAGTAGCACAAGGAAGGAACACCGGAGGGAAAAGAGATGAACAGCTGAATTGTCAGTGAAGCCCCAGAGCTTTAACCACTGGCAAGTCCAACCACTAAAATCTTTGAGAGAGCTGAGAGTGAGATTCCTGGAGTCTATATATCTCCCAATAGTTGCTTAGACAACCATTTCCCTTTTCTACTTCCTTCTTCTTCTCTTCTTGTTCGTGCCCTGCAAAGAAATAATCGTGCTTGGTGCTCCTGCAATCTGTGGTCAGCAGTAAGAAGATCTGAGGATTTCTTTGTTTACATCAGCCTTTTTCTCATGCTAGAGCTTTGGTGTGTTTTGTTGTGACATGGGACAACATCCTTTCGGTGTCCTGCCTGGACATATTTCTGGAAGCTAGGTGACTGGATTAATCACTGCAACTGATTTGCATTTAGAGTGGTCTGGCAGATTAGACCTCCCCTGGTACAAAATGCTGCTTTGGAGATGACTCTCCTCCCACATCTGAAAAAGTGCCTGACTATCTGAAATGTAAGCACCTCTATTTCGAGCCTGCCATATTCAGATGGCTGAGTTATACACACACAGAGTCACCCCCTCAGGAAAGTTCCCCCCCAGGGACCTAGAGACATCAAAGTTACAAGGAGGCTTCTACTAACTCTAGTCTACAGTCCGTCTAGCTTTGGTGAAGATTGGGTTTCCCCAAGCCAGCTGCTAGAGGCCACTTTCCTAGGGGGACTCACTTTGTGAGTGTCTAATGTGGATGTCTGAAACCCAATCTTCACCAAACATGGAGGGATTGTAGAAGAAAGTAAGCTTTCTGTGATTTTTCTATCTCTACATGCCTGATGGAGCCTGGGGGGGGGGGCTCCTTGTGGAACACAGATGTTCAAAATCCAAACTTCACTAAACCTGCAGGACTTGTAGAGGAGGGTCAGGGAAAGCTTGCCTGCAAATTTGGTGTCCCTAGGTGCTTGGGAGGTAATGTCGTAAACTCAAAAATGAATTGACAAATCAATTCATCAGAAAAAAAAATCATAAATTCATAATTTGTGATTTGTCAGCCTTGATGAATCACAAATCAAAAACAAATCACAGTTTTTCTAATTTGTGCCAGTCTCAGAACTCCAATCTCAGTCAATCCATCCATCCATCCATCTTCTAGAGAGCTCTGGTGTTCCTGCTCAGGGAAATGGATCTGAAGCAAGGGAGAGAATTCTAAGAATCTCACCAACTCTACAGGATGGATGCATGACAGTTAAAGTGTGGTCAGAGTGGTACAACTATTAATATAGACATGCTGCTTGTATCATATGGACTCTGCCATTGATTTAGATCACCCACATATGCCCATTCTCATAATGCTCTAAAACAGTGATTTCCAACCTAGATGTTTTTGGGCTACAACTCCCAGAAATCCTAGCTGGCACAGCTAGTGCTGAAAGCTTCTGGGAGTGTAAATCCAGGAACATCTGGCAACCAACTGTTAGGAACCACTGCTCTAGAATCTAAAATATGAAACCAGGGATACCATGAAGCCTCAAAAATATGTGGAGTTCCATACACTGATTAACAGAGTGAAAAAGTTAGGCTGTGGCAGATAGTCTGTCATTCATAGAATCGTAGGCTGAAATCTTGTTCCTTGATGTATTAAGTCACAACTCAGGCCCACTGAATCAGTGGTGAGTCAATTCCTCCATAAATTCCTCTGATTCAGTTGGCCTGTTCTAGTTGTTGCTTCATATGCCAAGCAACAAGATTTTGGCCACTGAATCAGAAAATGGTAGAGGTGAAAGGTACCCCAAAGATCATTGAGTCACTCCCCTATCAAAGCAGGAAATCGCAGCTATAACGTTTCCCCTACACTTATAAGAGTAATGTGGCATATCTGTTTCCTTGAATGGTAGTGAAAACTTTTCCATGTTGCCACAGGCCCATAGGACTGTTTGCTTATGACACATTTGCATTTATTTTATACATTTGTGAAATATATATGTTGCCAAAGATCAAAACTTTTTAATGGACAGCTTACACTCAAGAAATTCAGCATTTTATTAACACGTGTCGTTTCCTCAGAACATCCTTTACATCCTTGTTCCTCAGGCTGTATATCAGGGGGTTGAGCATTGGCATTATAATGGTATAAAACAAAGCAGTCACTTTGCCCCTGTCTTGTGAGTACTTCAACTTTGGCCGCATGTACATGAATATGGCTGTCCCATAAAATATGGTCACTACAATAAGGTGGGATGCGCAGGTAGAGAATGCCTTGGTTCTTCCTTGGGCACTTTGTCTCTGCAGTACAGCAAAGAATATGAGTGTATAAGAGACCATGATCAGCAAGAAGGGAATAAAAACGATGACGATGCTGAAAACAAACACAATCATTTCAATGAAAGAAGTGTCAGTGCAAGCCAAAGACAGCACAGCTGGCACCTCACAAAAATAATGGTTCAAGGTGTTAGGACCACAGAAAGGCAACTGGAAGGTGAAAACATTAATAGTCATGGAACTCAGTAAACCACTGCTCCAACAAATGGCAGCCAGCCAAAAACACATCTCCCAGTTCATGGTGGCTGCATAATGCAGAGGCTGACAGATTGCCACATATCTATCGTAAGCCATGACTCCAAGCAGGAAGCATTCAGTCATGCCAAAAGCCAGGGAAAAATACATCTGGATCACACAACCCCAAAATGAGATTGTTCTCCTTCTGGTCACTAGGTTCATCAGCATCTGGGGAACATTGGTGGAGATGTAGTAAATGTCTAAGAGGGACAAATTGATAAGGAAAAAATACATGGGTGTGTGAAGCTGAGGGTCAGCTCTGATCACGGAGATGATGGCGATGTTCCCAAACATTGTGAGTAGGTAGCAAGTCAGAAAAGCCACAAAGAGAAGCACCTGGACCTTGGGCTGGCTGGAGAACCCCAGAAACACGAACTCTGTCACAAAGGTTTTGTTGATGTCAGCCATTTTCATCCGTGTTATGTAATCTGTGCAGATTTAAAAAAGCAGAGAATCAGGTGTATTGAAGAATTCGCACCTATTCAAGTAACATATGCTGTTCCCACTGGTCACCCATCTTTTATGAAGCTAATTTTTAAAAACAAAAATTCATTCTACCCCTGTGAATATTTTTTGTGTTCTGTGGTTGAGGCAGAAAAGTCTGCTTTTTTGGTTGACATATAAAGCTATGCATTAGGATTTGGAATGGAAACAATGATTGGCTTGAGGGCTGAATTTATCTGGGTCTTGGCACTTGGCTCTTTTATTGCAAGGATTCATACCTAAAGGATTGAATAAGTGGATGAAATGCTATGCTGAACTTTCCTGATTAATGCCTGATTAATTCTTCTCAAATTCCAATGAATCCCATGTTACTATTTGTAATTTACTATCTGTACGATGGCCACTGCTCTGTGGTAAGCATAAATTGTACAAACACATGATATTCAAGGTAAATCGTTAAGACCTTCAGGGAGATTGGAGTGAGCAGATGAATTATGATGCTTTCCTCTGATCGTAAACTCTGTCTCTGCTGCAGAAAAACAGTTTTGGCAGGAACATGGTCTGCCTCAGTGATGGTTGCACCAAACACTCACAGCAAGGACACTTTCCTGTGGGAGGCGAAGGGCAAGATGCTGCAACCTTACTCTGTCCGTTGTGTGGAAGAAAACCAAACTAACGGTGCTAGTGATAGGAAAGTGTCCTCTCCTAACCCAGAGGAGAACAGGCTAGCTAAGAAGGTGGAGTGCAGGTTGCATGGCGCACATGCGCACACATTCAAGTCTGTTCTCCACCACCCCATTATTACTCCGTGTCCCTTGTCTTCTGCTACCTGAGCCTGTCACTTCACTCTTCCTAATGACAGGGCCAGAACTGCACACTGTTGCTGTCATTCCTGTTATCTGTCCAGACAAACTGCACTAACGGACAAAAGAGGGTATCAGTGTGCATGGGATGTGCGTCTTAAAGGTACAGATGCCAATATAGAAATAATTAACATAATCTAAATGGGAATAGAATGCACATTAACAGAGGGGGAAACATGGTCGGTGTACCTGTTTGATCTAATTCTTTCTTTCTTTCTTTTTCTTTCTTTCTTTCTTTGTCTCAGAGCATTGCACATTTTAAAATTATGAACATATATGAAATATAGGTTAAAATAAAAAATTAAAATGTCATTAGAAATTGTTGCCAATTGTGGTCTTAAAAAGGATGGGTCATCAGAAATTTTGCAGTGCAACACTTCAAGGATTGGCCGGCTGCACAGGGGATCCCCGAGTGTACGAGTAGTTGCAATTGTTTTCTAGTCTTGGGAAGGCTCTCTCTTTATACCCCCTGTTTGGTCTAAGGTCCAGATGCTCTGTATTTCTGTGGTTCTCTAAACAGAATCATCTCTAAACTATCTTCACATTGAATTCAAATAGAGGACTACATTCCAAAGTAGGCATCTGACCACCCTTCCAACTAAGATTTAAATCCATGTGTTAGTCCCACTTAGAACAGAACCACTAAATGAATGGAATTTGTTACGTCTCTTTGATTCTAGATGAGACTAAATGTTGGATTTATCCCAAAGCTAAATGCAGTCCATGGGGTCCTTCAGGTATTGTGAGACTGCAGCTCCCATCAGCCCCAGTCCCCCCAGTCAGCATAACCAGTGGTGAGAGATAATGGGAGTTGCAGTTTAACAACATCTGGAGGCCCACAAGTTGCTCACTCTTGACTTCACCCTTTGGGAGAGACTATCAGCAGTTTTCTTATTATCTTAAGCTGAATATTTGCACAGACTTTAGCGTAGTTCCTAACTCCAGCTAATAATTCATTTAAATCCATTGCACTTCTGCTGTTGCATCCCATGTTTCCAATGAAGTATTATGATTATGAGCAAAAATGTCTCTCTGCTCCCTCCTCCAGCAGAGGTGTCCCTTTCTTGGAAGTTCATTCAGGGGAACATCCAAACCATTGCACAGTATATTTGCTACATTTGTACTGTGGAAAAGTTAAATTATTTTGAACTATAATACTGCCCAATCTCAGAGCCAGCATGGGTAGCTCTGGTTAACAGTATACCCCACTGACCGACCTCTTTCTTCCCAAATGTCAGTAAGCAACTATTCAAAACTCCTTTGCCCTGATGGTAGAAGAACTTTTTACATTTGTTTAAACATGTTTACATCACTTCCTGTCCAAAGCTCTCAGAGATTAATAGGCAATTAATAAAAATTTGCTTTCATAATTTTGGTATATTTATTGTTGCTTTTTTGTTTTAATCACTTGAGGAACACTCTTGGTGATATTCACAAGAAAACCCGCATATACTTGAAACAAGCTAAGATTCAAGGAATTAGTGCTAACAAGGCATGTCGGCTCTGCTGGGAAAAAGATGAAACTGTGTCATGCCTCATCTGAGAATGTCCAAAGACTGCAGAGATTACAAAATCAGAGATGACAGACTGCCAAAATTAGTGCACTGGTCATATGCAAAAAATAAAACTATAACTGTCCAGCTTCCAAAAGCCCATGGGAACATCAGTTGGGGAAGATCTCAGAAAATGACAAAGTCAAGATTTTGTGGGACACCAGACATAGTAGTAACAGGACAAAGAAATGTCTGGATCATTGACATTGCAATTCTAGGGGATGCCAGAAATGAAAATAAAGAACTGGAGAAACTAACAAAATACAACTAACAAAAAACTAACAAAAAAGAATTGGAAAAACTAAAAATCTGGTGATCGAACCATCTTGCTTGTGGATGAAACACACTTCAGTGGTCTCTGTAGTCATCGGGCCTTTGGAAACAATATCAAGAAATTTCACCCAGCATTATACACTAAGCAGTTGCAGATCTCAGAGATAACACCATCAGAGCTAGAAAAAAAGAGCAATATTAGGAACAGCATATATACTTTTCCAATATTTAACAGATACTTAGTTTTTTCGTTAAAACTTGTGTCTGTTACATAATACCAGCCAATGTTTTTATAATTTTGATTGACTATGTCTGGTATTTTTGAATTATCATCATCATCTTAGAACCGCAGAGCTAAAAGGCGACCCTATGGATTATCAAGTTCAGCCCCTGTCAAAGAGGTACAGTGCGAAACTGAGCTTCAACCTTTGGCTTCACAGTCAGATACCTAAACCACTGAGCTATACAGCAGTTCATTACCTACTCTTGCACATATATAATAGATTATAAATACATATATTATGCATATGAATGGCATTCTATTTTTAGCAAAGGAATAAATGGAGTGGAGAACACCCACTAAAACTCCCTCCCATGTTCTCAATTTAAAGGATACTGTATGAAGAGATGCATTTTACCTGTAGTCCTGCAATCGCTATTTTGCTTCCAAAAATAAAACCAGCCAGATCTGTCGCTGAACAATTATATTCCAAAGATTATTTTCTACTCTGTTGTTATTTTTCAGGAAGAGTGAGAGGGTGGGTTGGGTGGAGGGGAGAGGTAAGATTATAGAAAAACAGAAAGATTACTTGGGGATTTGGTGTCTCTAAAGGATCACCTCATTTTGTAGCAAACACAGACCAAAAAACACACACCCTCTTACAGTGTCTTGAAGGTAAACACTTTTATGGCATCATAATCTTTTACAGACCAGAATCCATTTCACTACAAAGTACTGTTCTATAGATAAAGAGGTAGACTGACAGATAGATGAAAAACAGTCTTATTCAGCCACTTTGTACCCACTGAATACTGGGTGAGCAAAGGGGCAATGGGTATATAAATCCCTAGCTCCGAAAATAACAATGCATGTGTTGACCACATACGCAAACTGGTGGCTGATTTGCTGAGACTGAAAGGGCCACTTTTTATGCACACAGTATTTCTAACAGAGTTATTGGAATCTTGGTCAACCAGGATTGCTGTCAATACAGAGGAGCCCCTATGTGCACAGAAGGCAGCACCCTTCACATTGAGGTGAAGCTGTACCAACCGAGGGATGATTGCAAGCATCATTATTGGGAGTGGCAGGGCTAGCCCCCCCCCCATTTTTCTTGCTGACATATCCAGCAATACTTATAGGTACTAAAGGTACGAATAATGTTGTTCACATAAAACCAGGTCATGCAATAGATCCTGCCTATGGCAATTTTGTAACTAGAAACAATTTGTCTCTAATAATTATGCCATTTGTGTTATGCCAAAGAAACCTGAATAGGATAGTGGTCATTGTAAATAGTGTGGCCAGAAAGCCATAGAATAAAACCTATAGCAGCAACAAAATTTTATTGAAGCTATAAACTTTAATAATGATGCTCTTCTGTAAATTAGACATAGAACAGTCACCTAAAAGAACATGGTGTAGATCATGGGTCTCCAAACTGCGGCCCACGAGCCACATCCGGCATGCTTTGCCTTTTTATCGAACCCGGTGGGCCGGCGGGTGCACTCGTGTGTCTGTGAGTGCATGTGGATGGGTGGGCGGGCATGCATGCATGTGAGAGTGAGTGTGTGCATGCAGGAATGCAGATGTGCAGGAGCGCTGACATGCATACATGCATGTGGGAATGCATGTGGGCAGGTGGGTGTGCGTATGGCAGTGTGTGCAGGAGTGTGGGAGTGCGGGTGGGCATGGGGGGGTCGAGAGTGTGGGTGGACATGTGTGCATGTGGGAGTGCGGGCGTGTATGTGTGTGGGAGTGCGGGCGGGCAGGCTATAGGAATACAGGACAACATATATAATCATTTCATTTGCTGAATGTGAGGCCTGCTGCCCCCACCCCTGGTGGAACCAGCACCAGGAATTCCACAGCTCCAGGTTCCTGGTAAGGGTACTCTTTATTGGGTCAGTTGCTTTCAACAGCAATTCCCTCTCATACCCCAGAGGACTGAGTTTCCTGTCATTGAGGCCACTGAAGTCCTGGTGATGAACAAACCCCAGTCAAGGTTTGAGCTTGGAGCCCATTAACGAATGTCAGTAGAGGTGGCTGGCCATGAGTGTTGGCCACTTTCTTGCTCTCCCAGGATGGAAACCTCTGTGTTTTACAGGTGTTCAATGAAAAAAGAAGATAGGATGCAGTGGAGGGAAAACATGAGTGTTCATAAATGAAAAATGTTGTTTTGTGGGCTGCTCTTCTGTGCATGAGGCAGAGTGGTTACCCAACAAAATTTTCATCTTTTATGAGAGAGCTGCCTAAATAAGGAGGGAGGCAAATGGGGAGAGGGCTTTGCCAACTCTAGCCCACAATTCTTTCTCTTTC